GTTTAATTTGAAATTAGTTTAAAAAACTTAGTACTTATAATATTCAGTGGTTTGAATACCTGATTCAAACATATAAACATTATTAAAAAATAATTTTAATTTGTTCATTATTAATAATGCAAATAATTCCTTCTGTAATGAAGACTTTTTTATTTAAATTTTCATTGTCAATTTTCTTTTTTAATATAATGGAAGTACATAAAAAAAATGACATTACTAAAACAAATATTTTGTAGGATCTCTAATATAAAAATTATTATTAAAATAAAAATTCAATAACATGATAAACAAAATATACAGTTTCTAAAGAAAAAAAAAATGAATTGCAGATGAATAAAAATAATTACAAAACATTCTCTTGTACAGCTTCTGATAAGTACAGCCATTAATTAGCCTGTCCATGGTCCCTGGCAAATATTTACAAAAGGATAATAAACAAGATTTAGGGTAGTTCTATATTCACCACCTCTAGGTATACGAGTAACATAAATTATCATGGATATAAGCTTTTACAAAATATAATCTTTTAATCTAAACCACTTAATACATCCAACACTGTATTATAAAAAATATTTAAAATCTAATTATAAAAAAATAAAATTTAAATTCTTAAATAGTAGAAAAACTGGGATTATACCAGGGTAACATTTCCCAACTACAGCTGTCCTCTTTTAAACTTGTCATAAATTTAGATATAACCTATACTAAGAAAATAGTCAAGTTTGACATATTTTATTGAATTACACATAGTGTAATAAGTGAAAAAAAAAAACTCTTGTCAGTATAACAGAGAGCATCCAAAAAAACATATAAAGCAAATCAAATTTAACAGAAGATAGAAAAAGCACACTTAGAGAACATTAAACAAGCAAGTATTAGCTTTGAAAAATGGTCTGAGTTCCAACACCAATACTGTACAATAAACCACAATGTAGGCATACACACAACAAGCTAGTCTCAATACAAGAAAGCACATTAACGATACATTCAACCAATCACGTAAATTCAAAGTTTAAAAATAGCACCTCACCTTAACCCTCCATTGGGCATACTTCCTCAATATGATACAACTCAACAAAATGATTCCAACAGTTGCTAAAATTACTCTTCAGGTACCTTTATACTTCCCAATCCACAACACATTATTTTTCTCAAGTCATCAAGATCCCCAATTTCTTTAAAAACATCTATTTAAATTTATATTGTTAAATTATCTTGATAGGTATTTGAATAATGCAACTATTGAATTTTCTAATAGCATTATAGACGTTAAAAACCAGGTAATATTATAAGTAAAAGAAGAATAAAGAAGTATAGATGTATAGATGGCCAGTAGGTATGGATAAGAAAACAAAAATAAGTAAAATGGATATGGTAAAAGTCCAAAACAGCCGTTTCAGAACACTAGCAAATGTCTGTAAGAATAAATATCTAAAGTGATGTTCCTTCCATAAATCCAGAAAGGCACGTCAGTATAACAATTTTTAAAAAATTTAATGAGTAAATTAAAGTTAAAATTTAAAATTACATTAATATAAAAATGGTACTGGTTGAAACATCCAGGAATCTTTGTTTTAATCTTACCCAATGGAAGGTTAAAAAAAATTGAATGAATAAATTCTTTTAAAAAAAAATACGTAACAGAGAAATAAAATCTATCAAAATTTATTATATATTTTCTTATATTAAAAATGAATCAAAAGACAAAAGGTAAAGCCGAATATTTGATATGCTTTGTTCCGAAATTGGCCTCATTTATTGTCAATTACATATAAATATTTTATTACATGATTTATAAATTAAATAATAAACTTAAAGTATTATCTGACAATAAAACTTAAAAGGTACATTAAATAAAGGAACAAGCGCAATAACTAGTAAAATTAACAGTGCTTAGGAAACCTTGATAAAACATAACATAAAATTAATCGTTAATTTAAAAAAAAATTAAAAACGTATAAAATTTAAAAAAGATTCAATTTCTTCTAGCACCAACTTGTTTAACAAGAAACTTACAACAACAAAAATAAATAAGTATTATTATAAACATGTATAAGGTGGAAAACATTTCATTACTATCACAAAGCAATATAGCAAATAGGCCTAAGAAAATACAATAAAATTGGTAAATGGTTTGATCACACATACTAGTGTTTATGTCTGTATGTAATGTTCACACATCTAACTTTCATTTAAAGATTATATTAATCTGGTTAATGTACAGATACAAACAGAAACATTCTAGTATTAACTTTTTAATATACATAAAAATATTAAAACAATCATTTATCATAGGAATGCCTAATAACTGATAAATATAAATTCTCTTTCTAATACTGATCAGCTCTAAGGCATGACATCGAACCATGTAAGTAGGGAAGCTTAAATAAAAATAATTTCATTCATATTAAAAAGAGACTACATCCATTAAAAATTTGTTATATTATTAAAATCATAAATGACCAGTTGTACATCACAGTTGTAATTCAAATTTAAAAAATAACCTAGCTTATTTATGTATTATATAAATTTATTAAAACGAAAATTTGTTACCAGCTGCACCTCATGTACAGCCAAGGAATACAGTATTCAAATACAGCTTCCTTTTTTTCCCCTCTCCCACCCCATTAATTCAACTTGATCCATGTCAAACCTTTCTGCAATACATTAAAACTTTTCGGGCTACGTAACCAACCTATAGCACACTTGTGGTTACTGTTTTAGCCAACACTATTAGTATGGGACAATTCCCCAGAACAGATAAAAATTCCCATTCATTCAACCTATACCACCCTTAAATACTATTACTTATTGACAATGCCAATACTACTCCTGAACACAATCAAAAGCCAAATGTTTAAAATAGGATATACAAAATGAAATCATTGTATGAATAAATATATAGATTTATTATACATAAATATGAAGCAGCAGGCACAACACTACGTGTACTAGATTGTAGAAGCTGATTGGCTAGCAAAAAAAATAATATTCCTGACAAATTATTATTTGTATTTTTCTAACTATTCATTCAAAACCTGAATTAAATTTACAGTTTTCATCTTAATTTAGAATGCGTGGATGGGAAGTTTCAGACTTGGCAAAAATATTTTTAATTTATAAGTAATTATTAACAGTTTTGTATTATCTAAATAACTTTATATTCTGAATATATGCGATAAAGGAGCTTCATCACTAATTAGATAATTAGATATTTCATATAGAAGCGATGCCAGCCTCAGATGTTTGATGCCTCCAGGTAATGATCTTCCTCCCCTCCATTAAAAATTTAAATATATTTTTTAAGCTGCTTTATATTATGTAATATTTGAATTTCATTTTATTCCATATTTCTCTTATACAGTTGCAGTATTGATAGGCTAAAATTAATCGTTTTAATACATTCTGTATTTTTTTTTTTTTTTTAATTTCTTACAAGTGCAAAGTGCCCCTGAAGATTACTGCCCCAATAACTGTCCCTCCAGGTTGGCGCCCCAGGCCAATTTCACCCGTTTCCCCATCCTAAGGCCGGCACTGCACCCCAATTTTCGTTTCATGATGATTCTGTATTTTGAGCCACATGCCCGGTAAATAATGATTTTTTCTGGGAGTGGCAAGCTTAATTTTCCCATCCCTTCTTTCACCTATTGCTGCTCTCAGTAAAAGTCCCAATAAAATTAACACACAATATTAGTATTTTAGGTGAGGTATTTGGAAATAAATTTTAAGATCAGGCAATGTTAACTCATTTTATTGACTTAACGAAGGTCTAAATAACCAAAAAGTAGAAAGAAATATTTTTCAATTAACCTACAAATAAATTTGTCACCTTCTAAATTCTACCACCCTTGGCATGTGCCCCTTTTGCCCCTCCAAAATTCTGGGCCTGCTGAAAGCATCAATAACTAAGGGTGTAAGATTTTTTTTGTAAATGTTCTTGAACCTACAGGTTTCCAAAACAATGATTGACTTTATTGAATCGAAGAAAAACCTGGTAGATTGGCTCCAAAGGTACATATCACCAAGTTATGAAACTATGTGAAACCACAATCATAAGTTCATAATGTTGAAAAAAAATTGCAATTGCATTTGTTCTCCAAGGTTGGCAATGAGAATTTGAAAAATATATATACGTATAGACACATACACAAGTATCATGTATTTTTTAAGAATACATGTTTATTGTGTAGGAACTTAAGCTCAAAGAAGGGAAAGAATGGCATTGTCTAAAAGAAAATAGATGTCAACACGCCTCATTAATTCTATGGCTACATTTTATCTTTAATAAGGAAGACCTTATAAATCAGACTTAAGTGGAAATGATATAGCTTAGATGCAAGCTAAGTATATTTAGGAAAACAAACATAGTCACTAATAGAAGCTGGTCTTTGTTAAAATTATGTTATAGCTACAGTAGAATAACATAATAATGACTCTTAAGTGAGTCAATTTAGTTTAAATTCATATGAATCATTACAAAAAAAAATTAGAAAAATTTTATGGGTAATAAATAAAATTAACTCATCCCATCTCCATGGCTAAAACCTTTTCAAGTCAAAATATTAATTTTCTAAATTAAAAGATCTTTAGTGACAAAAATTAATGTTATCAGATCGATGGTTTTAGTTTTTTATAGATGAGGTTATAAATAATTTAGTTAAAAATACTCTACACCTAGAATTAAATCTATATAATATATAGTTATTATATTATAATAACTGATCAACATAACATGTTAAAATATTAATTTACAAACCATTAACAAATTTTCAATATTATATAGCCTCTTTAATAAAACAATTTAATTATTAACTAATGAACATCCATACTTCTAATACTATGAGGTATCTTGCTAAGCACCTTAAAAATATTTTCTTGATTTTTCTTCTACATCTTTTTAGAATGCATAATTCATAATTAAAAATGCTGGAATATTTAAGCAAATGCTTGACAAATCAAAAATAAACTCAAATATAATTAATAGTATTCACAGCACCACACATATATTCAACACATTTATATTATTATACACATTTGCACAACCTCAACTAAAACTATAATAAATATATAACTGTATATTCTACATAAAAAGCATATGAATAATCAATATATGCTAAATTTTTTTGTGTTTTTATTTTTAAAGCCCTATATTACGTTATGCAGAATGATTTTTGGCATCTAAAGTAAAGAGAGTCCAACTCTTAAATAACACATAACAAATTAAACTAAAATTTGTCAAACTGATCAGATACTGTAACATATGTATGAAAAAGCTCCATTCCTTAAATTTTAAAATTAAGAATCAATTTTATCAGTTGTGTTCATATTTGTATGAAAATATGATTCATATATGAATACCATATCAATAATCTAGGTTTCCTTAACCATAGAATCAAACCTAGCCTCCTTCAAATATTTATCAATATTTAATAAACGCATTCATATTTCACATAAAATAGGTTTAAAAATTTGATCTTTTTAAATTTCCTAAATAAAATATAAAATTGAAGCTAAATTGTAAAATGTTTACAAAGAGTTGGACCCATAACTATACCTGTTAGAGGCAGGTTCTCTTCTGCAAGCTCAAATTGATGGGCATCATATCAAGCTCTTGAATTTCCAGTTCTATTTTCTTTCAGTTGTATCTGTGTACTCGATATGATTATTTCCTTACTCAGTACGATTGTAGCAGTAAGGCATGTCATGGCCATGAGTACACCTGTCAACTGTAGAAAATGTTGTAATGATGATGAGGAGGCCTATGACAGCGACAGACATTCCAAAGATAGCCAAGCCAAGGGCCGGCAGCTTCCTCAACGAAAACACAGAGCCCTGCTCCAGCTTCAGGTAGCTAACGGCTGGCAGTACAAAAGCTAATGGAACAGCAGAGATGACACCCTTAACAAAATAAAAAAATACATCATAGTAACTTTTTATAATTATAATATAAACATGGTTATACAGAAATTCTAAAACATTTAAAAAACACCGCAAAGTATTTCACAATGGTTTATTATTTCCAAACAATTATAAATCTAAGGTAACATTACCTTCCTAGTTACAAAGAAAAATAAATAAAAGGTGATTCCAATTATTGGACTAAACTTTTTTTTTTTTCATTAGTAATATGCTAAAAGAAATTAGCATTCAACACATCAGTAACACATTAAAAATTCAAAAACCAAAACAAAGGATATAACCCTTGCAGTAGAACTAGAAACCATATCTTTGCTCCTAATTGTCCGATTTTAATGAATTTTTCAATACAAAGATGAACATTAAACAATACATTAAATATAAAAAAAAATAATAATAAAATTAAACATGAAAATATATGAGTGGCTTCATATCAAAGACGGATCTCTGTCATTTTCAGAAAGCGGAGATAAAGTCAATTTTAGTTTTATAATTTTATCAATAATCAATTCAATAATTTCAATTTTATCTATTTTCTCCTTTGTTTTCTATTTTTATTCATACTTATTTTCCATTTTCGTTTGTATCTTCTATATACGTAATACTTGATATTTTAACTACATTGTCACCCACTATATCTCTGATATCATCTTTTTATTTCTTTATCATACATCTTATTTTATATCTACTTATATTTATTTATTTTATTTTCACCATGTTTTGAATCCTTTGTTGACTTTTTTTTTTTGTTCTTTGGGCCGGGGGGTGAGGGCGGGGCATTTAAAATCCCATCCGGCACCCTAGGACGCGAACTCGTACGTTTTTAATCTTCTCAAATCTGTTTATCCAGTTGCCAGACAACTCGCGATGCTGTGCACACGCTTTAGCCCATTCGGCCGCCCCGCCCCCTTCCTTTGTAGACCTGATGAAGACCTGCAAAGTGGGTCGAAATGTCGGCAGAAATTAAATAATACTATTTGTATAATTTAGTATTTATTTGACCGCACCCCCTCCCCCCTCCCTGATCAACTCCTTCTAATATTATATGACAGTCAACCATCTCTACATCATTACTTTTATAAGTTCAAATCAGACTGTTTCTGATGATTAAGAATGACGGCGTATTCACTCAGGTGATTAAGAATGTTCAAGTTGAATCATGAAAAAAAATTATTAGAATTAGTTTAAATTGAAGCCATTTTACAGACAAATTTGTTTCCTAAATTTTTAAAAATGACAGATGTCCTTTTGGTATTAATCCACACATATGTTCTTTCTAATTTCTTTCTTTTCCATTTTGCCAGACTAAGCCACAGCAGCATGTGGCCGGGTAAAGCTAGTTTTTAATATAAAAAATATTATAAACTCGAATAAAACTTACATTGAGTTCCAGAACAACTCCTAAGCAATCAGTGGAAATAGATATAAGATAAGTTGTTGCAACAATTAAAATAGTTGAAAAGAAATGTGAGACTTCGCCATAAGCTTGAGTAATAACAGCTCTAGTCACAAGGCATTCTGAAATAAATACATAATGACAAAAAGTTTAACGCTTTGAATAAAAGTAAATCAAATTTTGTATGAAAATAGATCTTTATCATTTAAAATACTATGTAAATAAGAATAACAGACAATTTTTTTTCCGTCTGGTGTGATATGGATTCGGGTTATATGAGAGGAAGAAAAGGGAGTTCGGTAACCACCCTCTAAAGATAATGACAATAAGTATTAAAATAAAGGTTTAGAATAAGAATTTGAAAATTCTTATCTAACTTATTCCTTTATGTTAAAACTTATAATTAGTTTAACAATTTGATATTTTCTGTTTAATATCCGTTAGAAGATGGTTACCAGACATCCTCCCTTCATTTCACCACACCCAATTCCATATCACACCAATCGCTCAAGTCTTGATGTTAGACTAGACAATATATACATTCCATCTGTTGTTCCACTTACTCATTCATATTCTCAGTAGTAACTAAGAATAAAAATGAATTAGTAAAATTCCACCATATAACATTGCCTATCACATTTCAATTAGTTTTTAGAATTAAAAAAATTCACCTAATTTATACTTGGCAATGTTGTTTTATGCGTACTTCTTATTTATTTATACACTCATTTAGTTAATTTATTTTTATTTTTTCTTGGTGAATGGTTGTGTTTATTACTGTCATACTTATATTACTATCATCTTAACTGCATTTTTCATCTTGTCTTATGTATTTATCTTATATTTCTGATGTAACTTTAAGCCCTGATGATGTGGATAGAAACCTTGGCAAGCTGGATAAAACAAACAGACTAAAAATCCTGATTATTTATCCTCCTCATAACTTTAAATAAGCAGTTAAAAAAAATGTTAATCTCTAAATTATTCATTTTTTTTAAATAAATCACATTCATAATCACCAAAAATTTTCCAGTTGTCTTTTTCATTTTTATTTGCCAAAGATAATTGTCACTTCTTAAAAACCCAATTATTATAAATTAACTTATATTGTTATTAATAATTTTACTAAACATAAAAACAAAAACCGTAACAAAAATTGGCATTAAATTTATCAACTAAGTTTTTCAAAATACGAGTAACATCCTCATGCCTATAATATCATTTTCTATGTTCACTGTAGCACATCTGCTTATTGCAAAATCATGATGGATGCGGACTAAGATTTGAAGAGAAAAACCAATGCTTTGATAAGTTGAATTAAAATTGTTATTATTTTTTTTTTAATGTTCAATAAGATTATTAATGATAACATGAATTGATTTTTATTAATCAGGTTTTTAAAAAGGGAATATTATTTTTGAGAAAACCAGGAAAATTGTTGGTGATTATGAATGTGATTTCAATTAAAAAATAAATAAGCAAAGATTGCTAAAGTTGCTTAATAGCCAAAATGTTTCGGTGAGTGTTATTTGAGAATATAAATTTTGGGACAGTTCAAAAAATTTGACTACTATTCATAATTACTTAAGTCTCAATCAGGCAGCATATATAAACATTTTTTAAATATTGTTTATAATTTCAAAACTTAGATAAATAGGTTGAATAACTTTTAAAAATGGAAGCCCGTAACTATCCTAGTTATGGTTATTAAAGAAAATAATGGAGAATAATGACTACATTTTCAGCAACCATTTCTGGTATTTTAACAGCTAAGAGATTCTGTTGTCCCAATTTTTGACAGAAAACCACTTCACAATACACAAATTTAAAATAAATTCACAGTTCTTCAAAGAGACTTGTGACAGAATTATTCAATATTATTTGCAAACAACATAGCTATTAAGCTGTGAGAGTACTTATAACTGCCCATGGACCAACCACAACATAAAAATATTACAGTTGATAAATAAAATGCGACAGTTCACTGTCAAAACCAATTAAGGTGGCAATAGATCAAGGATATATGAAAGGTACAGTCAAGAAAGCAATTGTCTTAACATACATTTTCTGCCAAGGCAACGGCTGTGAAATTTGCTACTGTAGTTGCAACTGTCATCGTGGAAAGAAGCCTTAAATGAATATAACATATCTATCCTACGTATCAAAATAATTTGAATATTTTTTTTCTTTCTTCCTTTACTTTTCTGAATACCATGATTTTTTTTTTGTGTTTTTTAATTTGATTATAATTATTATTTTTCATTTTGTTTAAATTGAAAATTAAATTTCATGTTTGATTATATTATATATTATATAATATTTAATTAGATTATATAATATTGGATTATATTATATAATATTTGATTATATTATATAATATTTGAATATATTATATAATATTTGATTATATTATATAATATTTGAATATATTATATAATATTTGATTATATTATATAGGGTGCTTCGTAATGGCACGGCACTATTTTAGGTATATGTTCACTAACACAAAATAAACAAAAAAGTTCATATTAACATAAATCTCAAACTCATTTATTAAACAGATATTAAAGGTTAAAGATTATTATTTATTATTTCTATTTATTTATTATTATTACAACATTTAGAGTAAGTGTTCAAAGGGGCCTCTGTTTTGTTGAATGCAACATTCAGCACGACGAACCCATGCTTCTCATGCTACTCCGGCTTCCACGATCCGATTTATTAGCTCTCCTTGCATTCCAACTGCTGCAGAATAAACCATAGACTTCATCCAATTCCACACAAAATAATCTAATGGCGTTAAATCCGGAGATCCTGGTGGTCATTTAACAGGTCCATTTCGACCAACCCATCGGTCTCCATAAGTTGCATTTAAATAATCAGTAACACTATTAGAAAAGTGAGCTGGAGCACCGTCATGCATAAACCACAGCCTTTGCCTAATGCCCAGCGGAATATCTTCTAGGATTTCATGAAGATTATTTTGCAAAAAGTGCAAGTAAGATATACCTTAAAGCATAGGTGGCAAAAAGATGGGGCCGATTATGTCACTTAGAAGATCACACCAGATATTTAAAGAAAAGGTATGTTGGTAATGTCCAAAAGCAGTCGTATGAGGGTTTTCTTCAGCCCAAGTATGGGTACTTCAAAAATTAAGAATCCCGTTTCTTGTAAAGCAAGATTTATCAGTAACCAAAATGCAGATCAGGAAGTTAGGATCTCGTGTGCATTGTCGAATTAACCACTGGGAGAAATTTCTACACTTGTTATAATCTTGTGGTAACAAATCTTGTCTACTTGATACATGGATACAATTGTTGTTCGTGTAAAGTTCGCCACACGCTGGTAGAGGAAACATCGAAACAACGAGACAATCTTCTGGTACTGGTAGTAGGAGATAACTGAACATCATCGAGTATTTCTTCTTCAATGTTTGAAGTTCATCGAAATCTTTTTCGACCGGTGTTTACTCGTATAGGTTTTAACATGCCATTATCTCTGAGGCGTCTTTCAATGGCCAGAAACGTTTTACGATTTGGTATTCTCTGGTTAGGAAATTTTTCACAATATCTTCTAACAGCAGCAGCATCGTTTGTATGTACCTCGCTATATGTTAAAAGCATGCCTGTTTGTTCTGCGAAAGTGAGTAAATTTATGGCTTCTACGATGATAATCATAAATTGAATTGTGTTACAGTATTCACTCACACTAAAACACACAGAACTAGACAAACAGATGAGCAACTACTGTCACTGCTTATCATTCATTTGTTTATCAGGTGATTAAAACCTGTTATTTATTATTAAACACGTTAAACTTTGTACAGTCAGTCTCAATGTAGTAAATAAATAATAAATCTTTAACCTTTGATATCTGTTTAATAAATGAATTTGAGATATATGTTAATATGAACTTTTTTGTTAGTGAACACATCCCTAAAATAGTACTGTACAATTACAAAACACCCTGTATAATATTTGATTATATTACATAATTATTGAAGGAAGTTAATCGACTATTCTACATATCATGGGTGATAAATATTCAGGACACAGTCATTATAAAGTTTTTATTGGAACCGACATTTTAACCCAAACATGTGGGTCATCATCAGGGCATGTTTCGAGCACTGAAGGTATTCAAGTACTCTACTCCAGTACTTGAATACGTTAGTGCTCGAAACACTCCCTGATGATGAACCACATGTTTGGGTTAAAACGTCGGTACCTATAAAAACTTAACAATCACTGCGTCCTGAATATTTATCACCCATGATATTACATAATATTTGATTACATTATATAATATTTGATTATATTATGTAATATTTGGTTATGTTACATAATATTGATTATATTACATAATAATTGATTATATAATATTTATTTATTGGCAAGCAAACTTGGCAGTGTATAGAGTGTGAACTGAGTGTTCAGGAAAGTATACACGAAATTCTGAACAAATAAAACAGAAGGCCAGAGACTTATCGCTAGATAATAGGGAAAGTAGTGGCCACGAGGAAATAAGGTTATTTGAGCATGTGGGCACTATTTGAAGAGGTTAGAACAGCAGGTGAAGACCACGAGGCGAGCAATAAATAGACAATTGTTGGGTTAGAAAAGCACATGGTGGCCACGCATAGTACAGGTTAACCATGTGACCACCACAGAGCTTCGAGAAGACAGACATTCAGAGAGACACTCAAAAGGGAAAAAAGTTAACTGGAAAATGATGCCAATGGAAATCGTCCGAGTAGTACTGCAGATTGAAGAACTCCTTGGCTATATCGGATGAAAAGTGATCTCGGGTGTCATGATCATGGAAGGGCTCTTGAAAAGAATATGGAGGGAACACAGGAGAAGAAATAGGTAACTCTAGAAACGGAAGATGAGGTCCTGAAAAAAAATGAGAACTCCATTCCAGCTGCCTTGATAGTACATCTGTCTGACGACCCTACCTCTACTAAAGACACAGTAAATGCTGAAACTGGAAGAAAATTACCCACCAAGAAGAGCTTGAACCTCAAGCTCAACTTCTCAATGTGAAATATCGGGACCCAAACTCATCCCTTGATGAGTCAGAAGATGATAAAATCCACCTTGACGAGACAAAAATGAAGGAAAAAAGAAGAAATTAAGTGCCACCTCTGAAATACAATAGGAGGGGAAGAGGATTGAGAGAGTAGAGCATCAGAAGCTTACATACTCAGGCATATTAGGGAGAATGGCAGATCATTTCTATCCAACAACACCAGAGGAAACTCCCATGTATATCACAATTAGGGGCGAAGAAGAAAACTGGAACCAGAGAAACATAGAGGAGGTTCTACCAAACAAAGAGGAACTACAGAATACATAGATTAGGCCTAAAGTAATAGAACTCACCAACAGCAGGAACACCGCTGTCCTGATTAAGACTTATGGAGCTAAGCAAGCTAAGATGCTGATGGAGATGCAAGCTTTGAAGAACAAGGAACTAAAAGTTAACCTGGCAAGAACAAAGAGATCGAAGCTAGAAATCAGTGGAGTACTCAAGGACTGGAAACCCTCTTCCTTGGAGGGATTTCTATGGGGAAAACTTGAGAGCAGTAGAATAAGTAGACATCGAGAAGAGTGTAATAGGAAGGAATGAGTCAGGCAATGTTTTTCTAATATTGAGAGATGGAACTTAAAGAAAACCTGAGTAGTGGAGGTTCATTCGTCCGTGAGAACAGCAGTTTTGCAGATGGAAAAGCTCTTCTGCAGCTTCTGGACATTGGGCCTTAGATACTACCCTATGCCTGAAATGTCAGGAATATGGTCATACCGAAGCTATATGTAAGAAAGACCTTACATACAGATGGTGTGGCAAGTGCAAACGAGTGCCAGGCTAGGAAAAGCAGCTCTCCATCAATGTGCAAGAATTGTATGATGTCAGGGAAGACACTAGATGAAATAAGGCATTGTGTTGGGAACAGAGAGTGCCTTATGCACTTTTTAAACATGATGTAAATAGCTGAATATATAATATATCAATAACTGAATAATTTTTTTTTTGATCCTCCATAATTACTTTAACTATTACATATATAAATATAATATATACACATATAATATAAATGTATATATTATACTAATATATGAATATATATAATATATATGAATATATTATATTCATAAGCTTTAACCTTAATGGATAAGTAATAATAAGTGTTTTTAAAATTATTCAAAATTTACGATGCCTGAATAATTTTTTTTTCCTTATCCTCCAGTTTATTTTTCAACTATTACAATATACAGTACATACTAAGTGTTTTTAACATTATTCAGGAGTTGAATAGATCATTACGACCATCTAATCAACTCTTGAATAATTTTAAGAACACTATTATTCATATAAATACAAAATTATACTAACCTATTGGAAAAGTGAAAAGGATTGTCAGAGAAAATGCAATCCTGGCAGCATTCATCAAATCATCATCCCAACAGTAATTTTCTAGTAGATCACCTGAAACACAATATAATTTTTGAAAAATAAAATTTAATAAATTGTAAAAGAAAAAATAGAAAATCGTTAAAGAACAAACACATATATAATCCAAATCCAATCATGAAAGTAATCAACTAATTGGCATATTTTCCTTATATAAGATATTAGTTATATTATAAAATTTTTTATATCGGTGATAATAAGGTTGCTTTGTTAGGATAAGTTAACATGTTACATTCAAAGATGGACATGGTTATTCAGCACGAGGGCAATACCAACAAATGATAATTATTTTTTATTACTAACCCCTAACTTTTGTGCATTACACAATAGTAAAGTGTCAGCTTGTTATAGAGAACTTATCATAACTAGAAATTTGGTATTGTAAACTTATCAGCACATTGGGCCAAAGGTTCTAGAGTACCTGGTTCAAAAAGGTGTAGGTTCGATTCCAACCTGGATCAGTCAATATTTATTTTGTGAGCACTCCCATTCTGGTTATTACAAGAAATTCTATGTCTAGCTTGGTAAAAACCAAAAACCCCACATGCAAGACCAGTTCTCTCGACCAATTTCCGTTATCAATTACTGCTGAATGTCAGTTCATAAAACAGCATAACATATACCATCCGGTACAGTTTTACACGTCCCGTAAATGTTTGCTCTGCCATTTACTAATGCCGGCATCTCTTTATCTCTGTTTGTTAATAATTAAAATTTAATTTATTTATATATATTTTTTTTTTTGTATTTCTTAATGATATTCATAACTGTATTAAAGAAATACATTTAGTAAATTTGAACATATGGATATAATGACGTGAAAACATTTGTTGAGAAACTACCCAATGGTAGCACTCTAATGATATGTCTACATTAGGAGATCACGGGGCCATCTTCTTTTCAGATGCCTCGGGAGTTATCAGGAATTGAAGAGGAAGCAAGGTTAGAAACGAGAGGGTTGGGATGATTCTGAAGTTTATTATGGAAGGATAGGTATCTGGATTCGGCCAGATCTGAAACATAAGAAACATTAAGGTCATTATGAATGGTTTTATTTGTAACAAAGTAGGGAGCATTGAGGATTTTATGAAGGATTTTGGATTGTAAGGATTGGATACGAGAGGAATTCGATGGTTTAGTGAAGCCCCATAACTCAACTCCGTAAGTCCAAATAGGCCTTATTATGGTCATGTATATGAGTCTTTTGTAATTAATTGGAAGTTTAGAACATTTGCCTAGTAAGTGCTGAAGTAATCGAAAACATAGAGCGGTTTCTTGTCATTTCAGTCTGGTATGAGGATTCCAAGTTAGACATTTGTCCAGGTGGAGTCCTAGGTAGCGGATTCATTCAATAGGAATAAGTGGAGTATTGTAAAAGGAAACTGTATAACAGGAAGTCAAAGGTTTGCGACTTAATTGTAATTAAACTAGAATCAATCATTGTCTGTAATATATCAATGACAAATTTTCGTCATTTAGCTACTGGTGATTGTTTCTGAAATGATGAATTTTCGTCATGCTGACGAATATGTATCAAGTAGTGATTCTTTGTTTCTCTCTAAATTAATATAGTTATTTTTTAGTGTTTTTTTACTCTGTTAGTAGTATAATATGTTGTTGGCAACATCAGGCAAATCAGATGCAAATTTTTAATTTCTTTCACTTCTTATTACTTCTTGATAAATGGAGAATTGAGAGATTATTAAAAGAATGGAATCTTCTAGTAGAAGAGTACCTACATACAGCAAAGGGTAAAAGATTACCGTTTGCAGATTCCTTTAGAAGCTGATCGGCATTTCCTTAAATTGTTTAACAATATCATATTCCTGTCTTCATTTGTGATATAACAAGTTTCATTTATTTTATCATTCATTTCTTTGTGTTGTGTATTCTGTAATGTTTGATGAATATGCATACTTGCTAAAATTTGTGCTAGTAGCGATAATGAAAATAAATCAGCCAAAAATTTTAATTGAAAAGAAAACTAATTTAACAAACTATAAAAAAATTACTATCAATTTGAAAACAAATGTACACTAATAAACTAAACAAATATTTACTTTTTTTTACCTTGAGAATATCCAGTAAAGGTTGCATAGCCAGTAATGCCAAAGAGACATGAAATAACAAAGGAAGCAAAGACAGAGTAATGAGTGACTTTATCCCACCTCCCCTGATCAGCTCCTTTAATTGATCCATAGAGCAGGAACACGTTGTGATGGCACATAAATGCTGCAAGAAAATAATAAATAAAAATTTAATTATAAAAAAAAAAACTTCTACAGTTCACTATCAAGGATGTTACAATAAAACTATATAACCATCAATTTAGTAAAAAATGATGGGATTTATAATTATCCAGTTCTGAAATTCTGATCTTGTCAACGACATTGTCAAAACACAAAATTTTACCCATTTATAAACATCCGATCTATCAAAGCTGGATGATTTTTAAAATTAATTGGTTACATTATCTTACCATAGCTCTGTTTATATTATGACCAATGGATACAAATTATTCATTGTTCATAATATCGAATATCAAAAGTTTTTGTTCTTTCAAATTATTTTTTTTTAATTTTTCATAAATATTCCTAATTTTGTTTTACATTATAAATTATACTCTAATCAATGTTCCACAAAATAGACAATATTTCATTAAGGTAATTCATTTAAAATACAAAACATTTAAATATTTCCAAATACTCTACAACAATTAATAAACTCAGTTTTTAATATAACTGTTCAAGGTGCAATAACTATTTCACATACAAACTAATATCGAGTTATGTTATAAATTCATGTTATATCTAGGTCACTAAGAAAAAACGGCGTGTCCAAGCAAAATAATCCATGGATAATCTAAATAAACTTTACAATGAAAAGTAAAAGCACAAATAAAAAAGATCTGGAAGCTGTATTTAGATTAAAATAATAAAAAAAATTGTTTCCACAAAAAGGTGTCCCAGATGCTTGTAAATAAAGAAAAAAATATCACCTCACTATAATCAAAACAATTCAGTATATATATATATACTGAATTGTTTTGATTATAGTTGAATTGGTTTGATTATAGTGAGGTGATATTTTTTTCTTTATTTACAAGCATCTGGGACACCTTATATAATATATATATATATATATATATATATATATATATATAAATATATGTTATGAAATCTATAACTAGCTCAGATAATAATTAACATTGATAAGTGTTTAATAATTCATATTTTCTGTTAATTATATCATTCATATCATTTCATTGAATCTTAAAGATCTAATAATATGTTAATGAGTTGGAATCGATCAATTATCAAAAACCCGAAAAATAAAAATAATATTACCATAAATCACAATTAACAAGACATACCAATTAGAGATAATTCACACGTATCATTAAAAGCTAACTAAGCTATAAGTCACTAATACAACTATTAATATCAATGCTTTTGTTTTATTATCCAACTTTATAAAAGCTTCTGAATTAAATAAATTAACAAGTGGCCACCTGTCCTGATGGCTTCTAATGCAATTTAATCATGGCCAAAGCTCTGAACTATACCAACTGATAAGTAACACGGAAATCAGTTAATTATCAAAGCTTGATAAAGGTAAAGGAGGCGTTTCAAAACATGTTGTTTAAGAATTTGTAAATAAATATTCTCATATCGTTTTAAAAGAAAAGAAGCCAACATATCTTAATTTAATTTTCAATTCAGAGGGACATTGGTTTTCTAAATCTAATGTTGATTTTTTTAAGATTGAATTTAAATAAACTATAGATGGATTAATTATAAAAATGCCTATGAATATAAAACAAAAAATATACCAAACCAAAACCATAATAAAAATATTAAAAAAGAAAAGAAAAGGTTTTTATTATTGATTTTACTCCTCAAGTAATCCTAAAACTATTCTACAATTACAACTAGTAGTTACCAAAAGCCATGATCCCAATAGCAGGGATGACACCCCAGTTGAATAATAGCCATGAGTTTCGAGTAGAGGGGCTAAAAAAAAAATATTAGATACAGAATTGCATTTTTTTTATTTAATTTTATTTTTATGTTTTTTTTTTTCAATCTAAAAGTTTTAGAAATAGATGCCATAGTGATCCAATATTTTTTTTTAAATTAAACTTTATTGGATTATCTTTTTTCTATTTGTTACTACATTCTTGGATTTTTATGTAGTAAAACACACAATAAAAAGTATTAAAATACAAATAGTAACGACAATAATATGAACATAGCATTAATTTTAAAATAGTGATAAAACTAAAAATCATAAAAAAAAAATATATAAATAAAAGGACTCTATATTTTTTTATACTATGAGTTGTTAAGTTGAATCAGAAATACAATAAAACACTTGCTGTTTGAAGGGAAAAAACTGGGCCTAATTATTACGTAAATAAATGTATAATTATTCGTGATGTACCTTTTTAAATAACAAAAGATGAAACAAGATAAAAAGCTTATGGAAATACCATTTTTCTTCTTTCTCTAATAATGAAATTATTCTGTATATTAAATAAATACTTTTAATATTTGGCATAAGAGATTAAATTTTTTGAAGAAATGATTATTGGATGTTTGGATTGCTTGGTAAAAAAAAAATCAATATAAATTGGAAAAATTTTGATATAACTATTTTTTAATTACGAAAAATTCTAATAATTTTTATATTCACTAAAATTAATTTTAATTTAAGATGGAATGTCTAGCATAAAGAAAGAAAGACATTTTAACAACAAAGCATGCTTACAATATATAATTATTACATTTATAATAAAGTAGAAAGTTGATAAATCATGTTGTCCAGTTTTTGTAAACATATACTACGAGAAAGCTTTTATTTCTTTCATGTAAGTATAATTGAATCTAAAAGAACTAAGAATAAAAAAATATTCTTTTCATTTTGACAACAGTTCTAAGACAAGTTTCAGGATTTTTCAATACTATAAAACTACAGCTTCTAACAATAATAATGATCTAGAATAAAGTTTAGAAAGTCTTTAATATCAATCAAGTTAATATTGTTGTATATGGTTATTCTGAAGAAAAATTAATTAAATATATAATTATGTCATTAAGGAATTAATACAATATTAAAGTTATCAAAGTAAGATAACCTTGTGATATAATGAAATTTCATTTATAATTCTTTCACAACTAAAGGCTAACAACTATAACTGTAACAATTTATATTATCAACAGTGATAAACATAGACAGAAAAACTATTTGGAAAATTCCTAATGAATTGAGGCCGACAAATATAATAATTAATAATGGATATAATATATAATGTCTTATTTGAAAATTGAACAAGATAGCTTGATTAATCATGGGTGTAGCAAGATTGTGGTATGAGAAATTATCATTTGATGCACTCTTAATCAAACTTTCAAGTAATATAACTTTTTAAAAAATGCATTTCTATAATTTATTTTATGACAGAAACAAAAAAGAACAAATATTTAATCAAGAAATTACTGATTGTTATCATATTACTATACTTAATTTTTTTTTTAAGCTATCCCTTATAATTAGCTTTCATTTATTTATATTATATTAATTAATGTATTTTATTTTTAATTCAAGTTTTGTCTATTTAGTAAATAATCAATAATTATAACAAATGGTGCACAAATAACTACAAAACAAACCAACTGAATTCTTATTGAAATATTTTTAGCCAATATTGTTTTAAAATAGTAAAAAAAAAATAGAAAAAACAATATACCACATACTAAAATAGTCTATTAAAAAATAAGTTGTTTGTATAGACCAATAAATATCACATGTGAATCATAAGACCTTGAGGATCAATTTTCAAGTTAAATGGAAAGCTATCAACATATCATTATGCATGATGGACTAAATCATTCTGTTATCAGCTTTGCTTATAATCGTTAAACAGTTATATAATATATTAAATAATATAATTGTTCATGTAATCAATACTTTAAAGATTAGCAAATATTGTTATTAAGAAAACAATATTAGAACATAGTTAGTAAATATTGTTAGTAAAAGTATTGTTAGTAAAATATTGTTAGTAAAACAAGTTAGTAAAATATTGATTCTGAAATGTTTTGGAGTTGAAAAAATGAAAGTGAACGGTAAAAGGCCTTGAATAAAGTCACCATGAATACCATGATGTAATACTAACTTTTTATAAGATTACTTTTTCTACCCTGCATGACTATGTCTACTTGACCAACAGTTAATTAAAAGCATTTTAATGACTTGTAGGAATTAATCAAAATAAAGCAAAAAAATAAGCATATATTTATTCTTTTTGACTTTTATCTTAATAAAAACAATAGAATATGTTAGCTTTAAATCTCAAATTAAAACAGTTTCAAATTGAGGACAAGAAAATGAAAAGTAGATAAATAATCATAAAACAAAAATGGAATTTTGTGTCTGATTGTACAATATGATAATATTTAAAGAATTGAAGAGAAAATTTTTAATTATGAAAATTACAATTCATTATAAAACTTTAAGAAAATTAAAAACAACAACTAGGAGAAAATTAATTTTAAAAAACTAGTATAGTGTTCAGTAAATAAGCCTGTAGCCAACTATTTTTTCAAATTTATTATTAGAAGCCTCAAAGCACAATGGTAATATTCCTCATGCAAATGAAAGCTGAGTTTACTTATCTAACATTTAAGTTTACTTATCTAAAGTTTAATTCTAGAAATATCGTCTATAGAAACATCATAAAGATCATTTTCCATTTATTAATTATTTACTAAACAGAAAAACAAAAGTAGCAGTCGTAAACTATTAAAAAATAAATCATTCAAACAAAATAAAAAAATTAGCTAAGCAAATAAACTTACATTTTTGGAGCTAGAGTGATAAATCGAATAAAGATTGCCATGAGGATAAATACAATGAAAGCAAGAGAGAGCATGCTGGCTTTAGCAAGCCTAGCCATGTCTTTGAGCAGGCAAAGAGGAATCGTAACAAATACTGTAGCCATCGCCACAACGTAATGCCTCCTAGCAAATATAGATCTCGGCGAAAGAGAGAAAACACGAATTAGAACTTTGGTCACAGTGTCACCTACCACAACATTGTAGCTCACCATTGCTGTAACAAACAAAAAAATAATCATATAAAAATATATAGCGGAATGAAAGCAATATGGCTGAAAGATTTCAAATAATTGAGGTGAAATAATGATTTATAAAATATTTTTTAAACTTCTAAGCACAAAAAAAACGGGCTGCAGATCCCAGATAAAAAAATCAAACAGAATAGCATTGACAGAAGTATAAATATCACAAATCAAAATTTTAATTTAAATCTACATTCATACACGTGTTTGAGGATATAATATCTAAACTATTTATCTGAGTAGTTATTAAATAATACATTTATAAAAAATATTATAAATAAACATTGGTCCATGTAATACTCAGGAACAGGGAGTTTATAACCTTTCAACATCCACTAGCTACCCACTACAGTTACGATAGAGTAAAAAATTAAATATACATAATGCGATGAAAAAGTATTATTATTATATCTATTTTCAGCAAGAAATCAACTTAAAATTATACAGTTTACCGAACAACAATAACGTGATCATTTAAAATTGGTTTTGATTTACATAAGTGGTCAAACCTTCAGTAATTTGAACAAGATAAATGTTTTTAAATAATAGAAAAATGTTTTTGGTAATTGGTCTCTGAGCTTTTCCATCCTTCAACAATAGTTTATAAAATTAAATTAAATTAAACAAATAAGTAAGTTTTAAAATTCCAGCTTTCCACAATGCAATAAATTAGAAAAAATTAATATAAACAATCAGAACAATAGAAAAGAAAACTGATGGTAAATCAAAATACTTTAGATAAATCAAACCAACAAAATATAACATGGATTATATTAGCTAACAAACATGCTTGACATATAGCTAAAAATATGTATTAGATATGAAATAAATTTCTTTCTTTTAATTATATGTCAAATGATTTAAGCTTCATATAATTCTTTATTGAAGAGCTGATTGAAATTGATTCATAGCTGAATTGACAATCAGTACAAGTTGGCTAGGCTAAGACATTGAAATATTTACAATCCCAAAGTTTTAGCACTAAATTATGGATACAACTTCCTTATTTTTATCACATCTACTATTTTAATAAAACTAGAATGCATTATTAGTTGTTATTTAATAGTATAAGATAATTAATAAAAATCTAACATAAAAAAGATTTATGAAGATGTTATGAATAAGGATTTAATTTTGTTTAAAGAATTAAGGAAACCTTATTAGGTTCTAATATTTTTTTACAATTGTGTCATGGTCAAAAAACGCAATTTATTTTTTTAATGTATGCCATTATGAAGTAGTCTAAAAAGATACAAAAAAATTATCTTATCAAATTCACATAATTATTGTTAATTTATTAAGTTATATTAAATTTTGTGAGATATTAAAATACTTAATCATCATTAGATTTCTTATAAGATTTTTAATTTACTTGTGGTCTTTTGTTTCTTTAATTTTATCAGTCAATAAATAAGGTCAACAGTAGAAAGAAATAGAAAAAGCTCAACAGAGAGAATGACAACAATCTCCTGTCTCTCAAGAAAAAAAAAAATAATAATAGTAATAATACTTAGATATGACAATCACAATAAAACTTATTCACCCATAATTAAAAAACTTAATTTAGAAAAATGTATAAAATAAACAGTTTGGAAGATCAATACTTACCAATGAATGGATATATAAACTGCAAAAAAGTCAAAAGATAAAATCCAGGCCGTCCAAATGCAGCTTCCATAAGTCCTTGATATGAAAATGACTCACTCAAATGAGCTGATCGTACCATTAAAATAAGAGAATAGTCAGTAACAAGAGCAACAAATCCCAAAAGAAAAAGACCAGTAACAAATCCTGCTTGATGAAGAGCATAAGCAATCCCTATAAAAAAAAAAGAAGCAAAAAATCATCGACATAATAATATCATCATTTAATGGAGACAACTAAACAAATAAATAAATAATAAACACTATTTTAAACTTACCTTAACTATACTTAACTCACATTGGAACTAAACAAAAGGAAAATATAATACATTTTTTCATGGTAACCATAAAATATTTTATTCAAATAAATAATTTTTTTTTACATGAAAAAATGTAAAAAACATCTAATATAACCGTAATATTGACAATAAATATGGTATTGAAAAAATGTAAATATAATTGAAATTCATTGTTCAATGCAAGAGAATAATTATGTAATTAAATAGTATTCAAGTCACGCACTGTAACACTTTTAAAAATTGGATTGTCTTCAGAATTCTATAGTAACACCAGTTCAGTGTAGCCTATAGTTTTTTAACTCTGAAAACATATCATTAGAGGCTGATGAAGAATTTGAGGTAGGTGAACTCCATAATCTCAAATGTATATGGGCAAACACTAAACATGAGATCTCTAAAACTCGAAAACAGATACTTAGTCTTTGCTTTATTGATGATGAATCTCGAATGATGAATCGATGATGAATGAAGCCAATTTCATAAGGTTCAGGAACACATCTTCCAATGCTGGTAGATACCTCACAACTATTTCTAGGTCATCAGAATAGTACCAAATACCTGAACCATAAAGGCCACTATAGATTCCAACGTCTCTCACCACCATTGCCAGAACAAAATCAAAAAGAAGACAAGCTAGTTCAACTCCTTATCTTAATCAATTTTCAGATGTAAGCTCAGATAAATGATTAAACTTTCCGGATTTAGCACTTCACGTACTTATATCAACTTTACAAGATGAATCAATTTGCCTAGTACATAAATCTTCATTGAAAACCATCTTCCTCTCATAAAAACTTGGTCCCATTGATGGTATCATAGGCACTTCTGAAGTCGACAAACAGGTGAGCTACACAGGTGCCAAATCCTGCAGCTTATATTTGTGGCCTAGCTGCAGGACCATCTCAGAGTAAAAGCTTAGTCAACAGTCAATCAATTCCTCCAGAAACAAAAAAAGAGTGTTCTAAAGATTCTTGGAAAGAATCAAATTAAACTTTTTAAATTTTATTGATTTTGTTTTAAATAAATAAAAAGTTAACATAAAAATTCATCAAGGTTAAAACAAAACTTTAAAATTTATGATACTTGTGAATGAATGAGTAAAGGATCTGTTTTGTATAACTATGATTGATAATAAAATAATTTATAAAGGAGTTCTGAATTTTAATTACCAGTAGCATTATATAAATTTCATTTCTGTAACTTATGTTTCCACATATTTGTCGTTACTTCTAAAATGAGAGATTAAAGTTCTATGACGATAACAAAAAGGTTCTATGATATTTTCTATTATCAATAAGGATTTAAATCCAGCGTATGAATATTTTTATTTACTATAATTTATTTAGTTTTAAAGGCTCAACGAATCAGATAAACAGACAGTTTAATCTAAATCAAAAACATTCCTTTGTTTCTATTCTTTCATAAGAAGAATAAGAAAACTAATTTCTAGCAGGTTTTGAACCTTTTATCATTTTTTTTTTTTTTAAATGTCCATTATAACAGTTTTTTGATATCCATTATAACAGCTCGGCACTTATTAAAAAAAAAAAAATGTATACAAATCACATTAAAATTATATTTCATGAAATAAAATTCAAATATTATATAATACAAAACAGCTAAAGAAATAAATTTTAATTTTTTAAGAGGTGGGAGAGATGATATTGCTCGGGAGCGCCAAATATTTAAGGCCGGCACTGAAGATACTGTGGAGTAATTATTACAATTAGGTAACTACAAATTCTGTGGAATAGAGATAATTGTGCAGAAATTTTCCATTATGATAAGATTGAAACATATTACAGCTAAGAAACTTTGTAAGACAATCTACGGGTGCTAGTTAAAATCATCCAAATCAGATAAATTTATCATTAGAGAAATATCCAATCCATACATAACAAGGTAAGTTCACATATGCCATTGTTAAAGACAACAGTATCAAAAGTTCTAAATTGCATATAATTTAGAATTTTTTTCTACACAATATTCTTTCAAAATCATGAAAAACATTTTGTAGACACCTAGTTCTAGTATTAACCTCATATATTGGGTGTTTCATGTTATCAACAATATCTGACATTAGCACATTGTAAGTATAAAAAATATGAATGTAAATAGAAAATTTAAACAATAAAAAATTAAAAATAATTTGTTATAAGTGACTTATCCATTCTTTAATGTTAAAGAAAAATTTTCAACTCAAAAAATATAACTGTAAAAGTAGTTAAAATGAACAACATATGTCATAAATAAAAATTAATAAATGCAATAATATAATTATTATAGAAATATTGGAAGCCTGCTACAGAATAAATGAATTATTAATTTCACTAATACTCTACAATATATATATATATATATATATATATATATATATATATATATATATATGTATACACACACACATTTATATGCATATTTTAAGAAATAAATTAAATAAGATGTACCTATAACTCCACTGCCTACGATTGAGTTGATGTAATTAAAACTGGCTGAAGCCAATCCAGTTGTGGCTCCAGGCTTTTCCTGTAAATAAAAATTAATTTGGGAACATGTTTCAAATATATTATATCATGACATATTTTCGCATTCATAGTACATAAAAGCATATAATATATTACCTGAAAAATGTTTTCAGTGTCATCATTCTCTCCCACATCATCTATCACCTAAAAACATTTTTTTTTGTAGTATAATTTTTTATTGGTCAAAAAATATATTGCCAGATCATTAAGATTCTAAAAGAACAGCAAACTTTAGTAAAAATTTAATATAATTGATAAAGGTAAATGACAAGAAAATAATTAAAAACAATAAAAGTTATATAAAACATTAGTTTTATACAATTTATTTTTCAGTATCACTCATAAATCTGAGCTTGTCGAGCACTAACAACAGATGGATTAAAGTGATCTACTATATAAGATGACACCTAATATGGAAAAATAATTCAATTGATGCTTGACATAAAAATACAACAATAAATATTAAGGACAAAAAACATGAATCAAAATGGTAGTAATGTTTCACAACAGAATTAAGGATTTTTTTTTCTTCAAATAAGAGGAGAAAATAGCCATACAAATGTATGAAACAGTCATCAAACAAAAAACTTTAAGTTCCAGAGAAAAATCACGAAACCTTCAATAGTAACTAATAAAACATTAAAATTGAGGACTTTACCTGTTGCTCTAAAACTGTTTTATGACTATCTAAAATATAACTTTTCTCATTTGCTGCCGGCTGTGTAATAGGTTTACTCATTTTCTAAAATTTTAAAAAATTAAAACTATTAAACAATATTTATTTCGATTTAATCTGCATAACAATCCTCACAGACTTGGGGCGAATTGCAGACTGATTACCCACACAGTTTTTGACAAATCAAATACCGTGAGGAGGGGGTGGGGAAAATCGATGAGAGCTTATTGACAATAACATTTATATTTCATATACTGTTTTATCAACAATTTTTGCTGTTTTTATTGTTTAAATAAAATTTTTAAAGATATGATAAATTTCAAATCCCATTTTAATGGCAAGAAAATATGCATTGTAAATCAACAATAAAACTACAATCTATATGGCACAAATAACAAAAATGGATACTGACCCGGATTTACAAGCTCTCAGAGCTAAGAGGTTATCTGAAATTAAAGGGAATTACAAGGTATTGTCATTCGTAATACTATGAACCAAATGTATTTATTAACTTTACATTAATTTATGTTATGATTATGAGTTAATACCCGTTGATGGGTATAGTTTATTTATAAATAAACACATGTGGACTATGCCTATTCATTTCTAATTGATGATTTGAGTTATCTTTTTATTTTTCTCTCAGGACTACAATGGAGATAATCCAGAAAAAGCTGAAGAAGAAAAGAAAAGGATGGAGGACATGCGGAATGGAATGCTCTCAAGAATTTTGGATCAAAATGCCAGAGCCAGATGTAGGTGTTCAGTGATGTGTTGTGTGGTTATTGTTTTTGTTTATGGAACTTATGTTCTAATTTAATTGAAAATATTTCAGTGAATACAATAATGGTTGCTAAACCAGATAAAGGCAGAATGTTGGAGAATATGCTCATTCAGATGGCACAAAGGGGGCAAATAATGGGGAGAATGAGTGAAGATGACCTCAAAGGCATTTTAGAACAAGTTAACAAACAATTTCAAAGCAAGACCACAGTGAAGGTAGTTTTTAATATTTTTAGTGTATTCGCTTCTGACATATATTAATTAAGAATCGCATTGGTATTTGACATTAGATGGTTTACTTTTACATTCTGGTTTTATTATATGATTAGTTACTGAGGTATACTGCCTATTTCATTATATTACCATTTGTTATTGTCTAACCATTTGCATTTTTATTTGTCAAGTAATCTATGTAGATTTGCATGTGAAAAAAGATATTTTATAATCTGTTTTAAAAACAAAATTGGAACTTCGGAATTTAAATTAATGATTATGTTTTCTTCCATATTTTCAGTTTGATAGAAGAAGAGCAGCTTTGGATGATTCAGATGAAGAGTTAGATGTCTAGTGTAGATAACCATTCTTATAAATATTAATAAAATGCACTGACCTATTCTAATTTATTTGTCATAAGTGTAAATACTTGTCATAATATAATAAACTTTTATATTTCTATTAAGTGACATATCTGGCTCTCCCCCCCCCCTTTCCTCTCCATTCCAATATCATTTTATTTTTAAACTTATCCATGGAACAAGTAAAATTTCATGAATAAGAAATATAAATAACCAAGTATAAACACATATTATTAAAATTTTACAATTAAATCTCTTGTTAAAATTGACAACATTGTCATTGGTACTATATCACTTAAAACATCAGGAGGTAGGTTATCAGTGCCATTGCCCATTTGATCATGTTAAGAACTTTTAAGTAGTAAGAGTTTAATGAAACAAGTGCTAGTAGATCTTATTGCACTTGACAGTCACAAGTTAATAACGATTATGTAACTGCTATAGTTGGTGAATTATGTTTATTGGATAGTTTGTGCAGATTTACAAATGGTTTTTGGAATTGCTCCCAGGTGAATCAGTCGATTTCTTAGCACGCTAATGTTGCTGCACTGTATAGGTTTTTTTAAAATCAAAATTGTATATTAGTTATTACTGAAGAAGAAACTCGCAGAGTCAGTGTTAGCTTGGAAGCACGTGATCTAAAACTAAGAACTATGCAATGTCGCATGTTAATATATAATTAGCATCAAAAAGTGAGTACATCTAATTCTGTTTACCATTACAAAAATGGTAATACCGATATGATTTATAAATAAAGTAAATATCTGAAGTGAAGTTAGTTACAAGAACCGCCATTGCTGAACGTGCTATGTTGCTCTGCGTGAGCGGGTAGCTTCGGACACTTACAGTTTCTGCGCCTTAAGAACGTAGTAGACACCTATTTAAAGGTTATGACGGTTATAAGTTATATATTTCGAACTTCATTACAAGTTAGTGATGTACTGCCCAGGGATAATGTCTTGTGGAGTTACAGTGCTTGCAATGTAATTAAACATCATTCAGAAAGGGTTAGGTAAGCACATAATGTTGATAAGTAATCAAAATAATACGTATTTAATGAAGAGAATGGAGACATTCGATACTGTTATTACGCCAGTAAGGAGAAACGTTGCCCGTAAAAGCACTGCTAACAGACCATTGCTCAATACAATAATTAAAGCTCCTCTCAAACAAGTTAAAAAAAATGACTACATTTTCGACGAAAGCATTGTGTCTAAATCAAATAGCATTAACAATTATCCTTCTTACGAATCTCAGAACTTTCATTTCTATTATGAAGATGACAATACGAAAACTTCAAAAAGATCGCTTATTGACCACAATACAAAAAAGTATAATTCATGTAATGAACCTATTTTTAATTACATCGAGAACTCAGATAATTCATTATTGCATGAGTCTGAGGATGAGGATGTTGATTTATCTGGTATATTTTGTGTTTCTGATGATATGACTAAATACTTGGATGAGGGTAATATATCACCTACCACAAACTATGATTCATCTGATGAATCTATTGATTTGTCTAAAGTTAAAAATTACCCAGTGAAAGTAGAAAAATGTAGAAATGATCAGTTCTCTGTTTCTAACAAAGTTAGTTCACCTGCCAAAGAATCTGTAATAGATACTGGCAAGAATATTAAACAAGAATTGTTTAGTGAAATTAGTAATGAAGACAATTTACAACCTATCATTGTTAATCATGTTTCAGTCATTTCAAATGACAGCAGCATTACTGAGTTAGGAACTCAGACAAAAAAATGCTTATTTGACCCAAATCTTGAGTCAGTTACCTGTAAAGTCAAAGTTAGGGAAGAAGTTCTGGTATGTGAAAATGTACCCTTAAAAATGACCATTTTGGAAGCTAACTTTGATGTTGACCACTTAGAAAATATAGTGGAAGATAATAATTTTAAGGTAGATTTAATAAATGAGAAAGATGATAATGTAACAGTCGGTCCTCAAGTAATCTGTGCAATGAGTTTAGGTAGTGATGAAAAAAATGAGTTGGGGGATGCAACAGTAAACTTGCCGACTGTAGATGACCAGAAAAGAAATTTAAGGAGAACTAAAAGGGTGTCATTGAAAAAAGAACCGATAAAAGCATCAGAGATTAAAACTGAAAAGGTTCCGACTGTTAATGAGAAACGCTTAACTAGGAGTCAAATGCAAGTTAATAATAATAATAATACTAACAAAAGAATAACTAGAAATAGTACCAGACTCAATCCTGATTCTCTGGTTTCTAAAGATCTGAATACTGAAATAAATTGTTTAGGAAATAGTTATGATAATGAACAACTTAAAACTGTTTGTAAAAATAATTTGATTGACGAATCCCAAAAGTCAATTAACAATTCTATTAATGAACAAAACAAAACGCCTTGCTTGTCTGATGAGACTTCAGATATTTATTCTGATCAGACTAAGGAAGATAAGGATTGTAAAAAGAAGGCTAACCTTGATAAAAAAGGTAAAAAAGACATTAATGAAGGTGTGTTACTACATGTTGAAGCTACTAAAGAAACAGAATTAATGAGAGATGGTAAAATTATTAAAGATAAAGAAGAATATTTGAAAGACATTGAATCAAAAATTGATCAAAATTTACCAGTTGTGGTAGAAAAAGAGTTTGATATTCAACAATCTTTAACTGAAGAAATTTTGCTTGATCAGGCATTAAGGTTAGCACATCAGAGAACATCACCTAGGCTGTCCAAAATTATGAAAGAAGCCATTTTAAAAGCTTCTGTTCCGAAAATAAGTTCCAAACCCAAACAGACCAAAAGTAATGGTAATAAACTTGAAATTAAATCCAAAGGGAATAAAACACTTATTTCTCCAAAACATAATTCTGAGGAAGCTGATTCCTCTGATTCAGTTTTAAACAATTCAACAGCATCAGAATCGAATTCAGATAAAACATTTAGCACAGAGTCATTGAATGGAGATGTAGATGAGTTCAATGAAACATTTGAAAACCAGAAAAAAAAGAAAAAGGAAAATTATGTTATAACTCCTGTTGCCAAGCAAACTAATACTGAAAATACTGTTGAGCCATTGACAATTAAAATTTGTAGAAAAGCTAATAAGAAAAAGACTGGCTTTAGACTTTCATTGAAAAAGAAAAGAAGTCCTAAGAAAAAAGAAGGTGTTATTTCAAAACCAGTATGTTCGAAAGATGTTAATATGGATGATCTTTCTAAAACATTTGAAGACATTTTGCAGGATGATAATTGGTGTATTGATGATAAAATTAGTAGTGTAGATTCAGAAAATTTTGATGAAAATGCTGAAAATAAAAATATAAATATCAAAGATCTAAATGATGAATCATCAATAAATACTAAAATTGAACAGCCAACTTCAAATAATTCTTCCATAAAAGATAGTGAAATTATTTCAGGAAATAACAATGTAGAAAAATCCACCTGTGCTAATGTTGAAAACCCACCTATCATTATTGCTGAAGTTAGTACTGACAATGATTCTGGAACAAATGTAGAAAACAATGATGCATTGTCTAAGTTAAATAATTCCAAACACTCTTCAACTGGTGAGGATTCAACTCTTAACAAAGATGATTCTAAGGATTCAGTTTCAATATCTTCACATAATGAAATATTAAGTGATATTACCTCTGAGAAAAACAGTAATTTAAAGTTAGAACATTTACCTAAAAATTGTAATGCTGCTTCTGTTAATAACATTTTAAGTTCAACAGAATTGAGTTCTCATGAATCAAATAAATTACCCTTGTCAACTATTTCTGATACTAATTTGAGTAAAGATACTTCAAGCACAACACCTCAGTTTACTATGACTTCATCAGATATCGATGTACCGTTAATAAGTTCACAGAATGACTTGCATCTCAAAAATAGTTTTGCCAATGGCATTAATAAAACAATATCAAATTCGAGAATGCTTGAAAACCAATGTAATGAAGTTCATAAAATAATCGATACTGTTGACCAAATACATAATCAAATTAATAATAAAGAAATCAATTCTCTTCAGGATCAGGCAATAGATATTTTGAAATGCCCCTTAGTTTCACCTAGCTCTGATATTCAGCCAAAAGTACTTCCTTTGAGTATTGCTTCTAGAGATCCTCGTTTAAGAAAAAGTCATGTTAGAGTTATTGTTGAAGTAAGTACTTCATCTGTTTCTAATTCTTCGGGTAAATCTGATATACAGCAAGAAACCAGAATTATTAGCCAGGTTATGCAAAATGTTACTAAAGAAATAGATAATAGAAAGGATGCTGAATCTGATTCGGAGACAAATGAAAATCAAGTTGAAATGGATCGTAGAAAAAAAATAAAGAAACGAGAAGTTGATGCTGAATTACTTTATAAAACCCCTCTTTCAGATCTACATGACATACCTGAAAGAACATCATATACCCGTTCAATTCGTAAAAGATCACCTCCTAAAATTGACAAGAGGGACCCAAGAACAGTTCGTAGAAAAGAGAATAATTTTTTACAAACCAATGATAAGATACCAGACACCTATCGTGAATATCATGAAATTAATATTTATTCTAAAATGACACATCAGGATTCAATTAGAAGTGAAATAGCTGGTTCTCCTTCTGAATTTAAAAGGAATGATAATTTTTCTCCTGATTACAGATCAATGGGACAATATAGGTTAGATTCTCATCATCCTGAGCACTATAATTCATTTAGGACTGATGTAGATTTAAGACGAAGGGAAAATTATTGCCAGAATTCTTCAACTGAGTATGTAAATGAAGTAAGCCATACCAAAGATTTTACTGAAAGAATATATCAAACTCATTCTGACCATCATAGAATAGCTTACCAATATAACGAAACTGAGGAAGAATATAGACGCTCAGAGAATTATCCACCAGATTATGCACCTCCAGAGAATTATTCACGAGGGTATAAAAGATCAGTTGATTTCAGCTCAGATCACAGTCGCCATGATTCACCTGATTTTAGGGAAAAGGAGCTTGTTAGAGAAAGAGTTATTGAAAAAAACCATATCCCACACAATGAACCTAGTTATTCCAGGTGGGATTATGCACATAAAAAAGTCGAAGGCCATTTTCCCCCAGAAATCAATAATGAAGAAGAGGAAAAAAATCTTCAGTCTGATGAAAGGACTAATATGTGGCAAGAAGAGCGTGATTTAATTGATGGACCTGTTAAAAGTTTTTCAAGGCCATATTATCGGCGGAAAAAGTTTTCAAGGGGGGACGAACTTTTTGAAAGAAGAACTACACCATGGGATGATAATAGGCGGTATGCTGAAAATGAAAGGCTATGGGTACGTAAAACAGATAAAGAATTGATTCATGGCCCTGATAGGGATATGAGGTGGGATAGAAGAGGTAGAAAGGGATTTAGAGATGTTAGGGAAGAACGTTCACGGTCACCTAGAAGAGACCATGATAGGTATACTGGTAAACGCTCTAGATCTCCTGGCAGTTTTTTAAGAAGTAGAAGAGAAGCATCTCCTAGTCCTCAAAGCAGTCCTTTAGTTCTAGATTCTCCAATGAGTCCTGAACCAGCTGATCGCTACTGTGTCCTCGAACCAACCAAGTGTTTAACTGTCCCACAGTGAAGTGATTATTCATATTGGACATATAACTTAAATCATAGACTTGAGCTTCCATGCTGATTAATATTTTGTACATAACAATAATTTATATTTTTTTACATTTAGGATATAGATAATCTATTTTTAAAGTGAAGGAGAAAATTGTAATTATCTAATTAATTTCTCATTAAAAACATTAAATTATCCTGAAGTCCTGATAATAATACTTAAGATACAAATTTTAGAAAGTTCTTTTTATTTATTTATTGAATTACATATATGAAAAAATTAACTAGTTTTTTTTCTGAGTTTCTGTTTAGTTGTAAGTTCCACTTGTAAAAGTCTTATATTTAATTTCCTATTTGTAAAAATTGTATGTGTAAAGATTATGTTTGTATATATATATATATGTACACAAATGTATAATTATGTACATAAAATCTCTTAATACATTTTTTATATATAAATATATTGTTTCATGTATTTCTTACCTAAAATTTTGTGTCACAAGCACATTTTCATCTGCACAGTGAATGCAACTGATTCATCTGAAGTGGAAAACTGATAGGTAATATTTTAAATATTATTGCATGAATCTATTTTTTTTTTAATTATTATGAAATAGTGTACATTTAATCTTGTTCACATATTTATTATTTCTTTGCATACATTTCGTAAAATTACATCTCGTATTTTTGAGTGTTGTAAAATATATGGATGGATATGTGCTCAAGTGAATTGGTATTCTAGTCACATTAAGTATTATTAATTAAAAAAGAAAGAACATGTAATTATATTTTGTATTCAGTTCTATCTTTGCATTGTTTAAACTATTACTGCATCCAAACATTTAAATACCGAATCTGTATTGTTTATATTAAAAATTGTATTATTAACTGATATTAAGATTCAAGATTTAGAAGTAATGATGTTTTAATTTAACAATAATGTACTCCTGTGCTTAATTTTATTTATTTGATAAAAATACGTATTAATAAATATTAAAGTTATGGATTAAACAGTAGAAGTCATGACTACATATGAAATCACCTCCTTTTATGCATTTCTATTCATCAATAAACGTGTGCATCATTTTACAGTTGCAATGAAATAGATTTTTTCATCATACTAAGCAATTGCATAATTGTTAGTAGTTTCATCTAATTTTAGCAAATTATATTTTTGTGAGCCCTTGTTTATTTATGTATATTTTTAAATATGAAATTATAAGTATCTAATGATGATTAAGGCTATAAACTGAAGAATCTTTAAGATTTTCGTGAATTCGTACTTTGTGCTTGACAAATTGCACATTCACAGCACTACAAAACAAACTGTTTATGGTAGTTTAAACGAATTCCTTCAATTTACTGTTCAGATCTTTCAGGCGAAAGCGAACGTGATAAAATTAAACACTGCAGCTGATTATCGACCTTGATTCGCTGAAGGCGCGACCGACGTAATCAAAGACTTGATAACAAACAGAACGTTTCTGTTCGTGCATTTAATGAGGTTTTTTTTTATCCATTATTGTAAATAGCTATTTTATTATGAATGTTATACAAACGATTTATATTCTCTACTATTTCTTTATGACGGAAGACCTCTCCAGTAAACTTGTGAAATCGGCCGAGTGTACGTGGCAAATAATAAAAACGTCTTTCAAGTTCTTTAAATGCTAATCCCAGACTTTTATTAATGTGGTGTTTAGTGAAACATACAATTATATTAGTTAATGTATTTCAGCCACTAAATGTAAACTCCTGTCAAGAAAAAAATATAAACTATTTAACTCCAATATCTCTGGAGCATTATTGTTCTAATGAACGCATTTTTATTATTATTATTTTTTCGACAAGCCTAGAATCACCAAATAATATTGCATATAGTTTATTTTCTATTCCAGAGGAATTGCCGCCATAAAAACTCAGCCTTCCACAAAATTGATTCGTGGATCCGCTATCAGTTATGAACGTTAGTTAATAGGTTTTACAAGTCGCTATTTGTACTTAACTTTAAAAAAAAAAATAGATTTAACCAAAAACGAGTGGTCCCATTGTTTTATTAATATTTACTTTATTGTAAATCCTAAAACAACTACAGAAACATTTTTTTAAAACAAATGTTTCTCGTAATTTAAGAAATGTGCGTAACCGATCTGATTCGTTATGATACAAAACATTGTGATAGCATAGCATTAGCAGTAAATGGCTACTCACTGTGAGCCAACTGAATCATTTAGTAGTATTGACGAATGTTTTCAGTGGTTAATGCATTGCTGATAGACCTTATTAGAGAAAACAATGCTCTCCCTCTTGGTATCTGTACTTAATTATTCAAACTCTCGTCTTATGGCATTAAAAGATACTTAAGACCATTACAGAACTAACGTATGCTACTAGTTTGAAGTTATGTTAATTTTGAAATGATATCCGTAATGTTCATCATATTCAAATTGTTACCAACAACAAAATTATGTTCATTGCGGTATTGAACATCTCTATTGACAAATGTGCTTAGTGAGGCTCTCACATATTAAGTGGCGTGATTAGAAGACTTCTCTACAGTCTGATTAAATGTGCCCATACATTCTCGTCACATGAATTTCGGTTAATACACTTCAATATAATGTTATCTAAATATAAGAATACCAAAAAGTTCCGAAATGATTTACTATCACAACATGGTCATTCATTTACCATATCAATTAACTGCGAGCAATCTCTATTTAAACTCTTGTCTTTTCTTTGAATGAAGAAATTGTTGACGCCCACATTACTCAAGTAAGTGGTCTCCAAACTTTTTAGCGCTTGGGCCGCATTGAGAATTCCACCAAGTCTCTTGGGCCATGACTTAAAATGAAAAAGAAAAATCTTGTCCTATAAATGACACTTCATTTGTGAAGTGAGCTTTCTTAGAGAAACAACTCATATAACAAATGTTGTAGTAACCTCGTATTTGAATGATTTATTTAATTTCATAATTTTTAAACTTTACCATGTAATGAAATGAACTTTTACAAGCCGGATTAGAGGTGCGTGCGGACCATTGTTTGGAGAGCCTAAGGGGAGGCACAGTGCATAGACATTTCGGCCAAATAAGAAAACAAAATGTCTTTTAAGCACTGTTTACTTATTTATTGTTAATTATGTTACAGTAAAAAAATGTTTGATGTTACGTTACGCCAAAGGAATAAGGGGAAGGGACTAATAGGAAAAACGCTTGCGATGGGGCGTACTCCTTATTTACGCCCCTGTCAAGAACTTGGGCCCGTTCTTGCTCTATGATATCTATTACTCATCTTTTTCCTCTCTCTATCTCATTTTAAATCAGGAAATTGTTCTTCCAAAATTCAAATTACTCATCATGAGCGTACACAGGAGGGGAAGGGAAGGGCGTTGCTCTCCTCTAATAGAATTGAAAGACAATGTAATACCAAATGTTCGCCGAAAATCCAAGAAAAATAATTTTTAAAAATTCTTGTTCTATGTTTATATTAAAATATTTATAAATTGCAATAACAATAAACTAAACAGTATATTATTATAGAGTTTAAAATAATTTACATACCTATTTAGTCTTGCATCCCCTATAATAGGAAAGCTGCGGAAGCTTAGAAAATATAGGAAATAACTATAATGAGTTATTTCCTTTTCTTTATTTATCTTGTGCTCCATTGATCTGAACGCCCCTCGTGCACTTCGGAGGTATTATTTACACCACAGGACACATAAATGGAACAGTTGTGAGTTAGTTTATACCATTCTCGCTTTAGGTGAGAGTTTAGGTTTTTTATTTATTCCGTCCAAAGAAGCCAGAACATTTTCTTGTCTTTATCATCGGATTTCTCAAAAGCCAAAAACTTCTGCAAAAGCCACCCTATTCTAGACACTCTGAACAGGCATATTACTATAACCATTTTACTCTATATTATAACATGAGGAAAATAAGTGGGAGAGTGTACTTTAGGGAACATCCTGCCCGCGCTCTATATTCTCACTCCACTTACTCAATATGAAAAAATATGAAATAGTAATATTTCTCAGCATTCAAATACGAAAAGTTTCAGTCTCTACTATAATCGATGGTAGATAATAGATCAACTGGCAACAAATATTGACTTGACAGAACGTATACGTTTAGGTATGATTTTTAATATTGCTGAAAATACATTTCTGGTGATACGGTTGGCAAATTTAACAGCTTATGCTTGAGGAACCAGAAAAGACAAATTATTGGTGCTTTCAGTTGATTCTCAGATTACCAACCTAGGGACCTAAATCCGACTGTCTAATGGATTCCTGATATTTGTTTACATATAAAATTGGCAAATAGAACCGAATATTTAATTACTTAATGAATGGTTCTTCTTTAAAATAATGCCATAATTAGTTATTAGTGATAATAAATATATGAAAATCGTAAGTCAAAAGATGATCAAGCAGATGTCTGTGTATTAATTGCCTCAAAAACGTAGTCATAGTACATACTGAACTGACATAAAAAAACAAAGTGGATAAACTAGTTATACTGAATATATGAATAGCTCACATAAATTATTAGTTCCAAGAAAGGTGGAAAAGATAATACATTTGCTAATGATACACGCTTTGGTTTCAGCTTTCGTACAAGAAAAGCATTGTTGCATTATTATGGATTTAGATAGGTCACAGCCGTAGCCTTTCGCTTGCTTAGTTTATAGATAAGAAGGCTTCGTAAAAGGGATTCAGGTGAAAATATACATTTCAACGCAGTTCTGTAGGAAATTTTAAATTCATTTCATAATTAGATATGTTGTCTGAATCTAGACTGCATTTATGATTTAACTAAATATATTAACATGTTATCGTATTAATATTTATTCTATAAACCGTCACTAAACATTGTCCTATTATATCTGATAAATAGGAACTAGATTTTCATGTCAGTGACGGAAAAGGAAAATATCCCCTCCCAAAATAACTATTGAGGATGTAGATCTTTTGTCGCCTTAACAACTGACATTTGGTCTTGGACACGTGATCTTTTTCCTTCTATTCAAAGTATACATAGTAATATCGTAATAAACATTTTGGATAAATTATTGTTAGGAAGGGGAAAATTAATAAATAGCTCTGCTAGTGAGCAATCGATCGTTGTAGATGCATAAATTAAGTTAACTAATTACCTTTTTCATGCTTATGGCAATCGATTTTAAATAGTCCGAGATATATATTTAGTTAATCCACTGATTCAAGTTCCTACTTTGGACAAGATTAACTTTCTGCCCAATTCTGTTACCTATCTGATAATCCCCCCTCCAAAATCTACCTTTAAGTAAGTCAGCCCCTGTTTCATGTATAATAAAAAGCTACGTAATAATAGAAAGTTAATGAAAAAGAAATGGAGGATTAAATGACTACGACTCTGTGTCTATATATTATATATAAATATATTTACTTTTTTGGGAAAGGGGAGAGAGGGAAGAAATAGAATCTTAAATTTCCCAACTACTTCTATATTTAGAACATAGTAATAATGCCGATGGAACAATGTTAACAGAAGTTAACACAAAATTTGCCGGAACATTAAATTGAAAATTATATTGTGTTTATTTAATACTGAAGTAGTTTAATATCAGTCCTAGTCTAATTTCTTAACTTTTTTTTTTTTTTTGGTCCTTTCCTTCCTCGCCGTTAAGGCTATACGGGATTTTCCCGGGCCAGGGGGGTGTGGGCGGGGATTTAAAAGACTCCCCGGCACCGAGACGCGAACTCGTGACTATTTTTATATCTTTGATTCATAAATCAGGTTGCCGAGCAAAGGCGGTGCAGTGCACACGCTTTAGCCCATTCGGCCACCCCGCCCTAATTTCTTAACTTAATTGGCTTTCAATTTTAGTAAATCTGAGTAAAATATTTTATCATAATTTTCGTAGTTTTAAGTAGATTATCAGACCCGTCTCCCAACTTTTTGTTTTCTAACTATTGGGGAGATAAACTCCTAACCCCCTGATGGTAACGTCCCTTTATGAATATCTGAAATAGACACAGTGACGGACTTAGAGATTCAGCGATCCCGTGCAATGACGTCATCAACCCCCTTAAAAAATTTAATTTATTTCTCTCTGGATGAGGGACCTACTTCCATAATTGTATGTAAGTAAATAAAAGCCATGCAAGGGATGCCACTGAGTATTGCTTTTCCTTATGCCTATCAAGCCTTTTTTTTATATATATCTTATGATTGTGCCAGCTCATCTGCTGATTGTCAATGGTTATATTTGACAGGTCCGGATTAATAAATAAAAGTGCTAAAAAAAATATATATTTCTCAAGCTATTTTATATTATATAACGCTTGCATTTTATTTCATTCAACATTTCTCTAATACAATTGCTTTATTGATTTAGTTTTAAGCTAAAATTAATTATTTTAACATGTTTTTGTATTTCTTGACGAGCGACCCTGAAGATCGTTTGGCAGATTGACGGATTGATCTGGGAATTAGTTTTAAAAATTGTAATATATTCATTTTCAGTCGTTTCATACATATAAAATAATACTTAAATTGAAGTAATATATAGATTTGTGAGTATTTTGAATTTCTATCATATGTTTAGGAGAGGTGACAAAAGCGTTTGTTGGTTGTAACACAATAAGGCGATACCTGCAAGTTTCCTGACTCAGCACTCTGGCATCATGTCCATCTATAAACAGGGCGAAACCACGCCCGCCATCCATGAGCTCAGCGCTGAGTTAATGAACTTGCCCTATTCAAGGTAATAAACTTGAAGTAAAAGTCAGCAATTTTATTGATATGTTGTGTAGAATTATCCCACAAAGGGTAATAACTAGGGGGGGTAGATACGTAAAGATATAAAACTGCACATCGAAAATTTGACACTATCTAACAATTCTGGAACCTCGCCACTCCCTTTTACCTCGCCTCTCTCCGTCTTCTTTGTAAAAGAAA